TCACTGGTGACATCCCGCTGTCACCCCCCCCTCATTGGGGACATCCCGGACTGTCACCTCCGTGTCCCCCTCACCTTGGGGACACCCCACTGTGTCACCCCCTTGTCCCCCCATCATTGGGGACACCCCGGGCTGTCACCTCCGTGTCCCCCTCACCTTGGGGACACCCCATTGTGTCACTCCTCCCCATTGGGGACATCCCGGGCTGTGTCACCCCCCGTCATTGGGGACACCCCGGGGTGTCACCCCCCCCTCATTAGGGACATCCCGGGCTGTCACCCCCGTGTCCCCCTCCCCATTGGTGCCACCCCTCGGTGTCACCCCCGTGTCCCCCCCTCATTGGGGACATCCTGGGCTGTCACCTCCGTGTCCCCCTGCCTTGGGGACACCCCACTGTGTCACCCCCTTGTCCCCCCATCATTGGGGACATCCCGGGGTGTCACAGCCGTGTCCCCCCCACCTTGGGGACATCCCACTGTGTCATCCCCCCACTCATCGGTGCCACCCCTCGGTGTCACCCCCGTGTCCCGCCACCTTGGGGACACCCCGCTGTGTCACCCCCGTGTCCCCCCATCATTGGGGACACCCCGCGGTGCCACCCCCGTGTCCCCCCCTCATTGGGGACACCCCGCGGTGCCACCCCCGTGTCCCCCCCACCTTGGGGACACCCCACGGTGCCACCCCCGTGTCCCCCCGCCTCGGTGCCACCCCCGTGTCCCCTCCCTGCCGTGACCCCGATCATGCCGGTGCCACCACGTGAGCGCTGATCCCGTTAAGAGCCTTTTCCCCCGGGAAAGGGGGGGGGAGGGGGGAGGTGACACCGGTGCCACCAAGGCCACCAAGGCCACCATGGCCACCCCCCCGGCCCGCACTGTCCTTGTCACCGGCTGCTCCTCGGGCATCGGCCTGGCCGTGGCCGTGAGCCTCGCCCGGGACCCCCAGAGGCGATACCTGGGTGAGGGGAGGGGTCCCCAAATGTCCCCGAGGGGTCCCCGAATGTCCCCAAAGGCTGGGGGAGGAGGGGTGGGGGGAGGGGAGTGGGTTATGAAATGTCCCCGAATGTCCCCGAATGTCCCCAAATGTCCCCAAGGAGGGAGGGAAACGCCGGGAGGGGATGGGGGAGACCCCCGGGGTTGTCCCCAAAACGGGATTTTGGGGGTCTCTGATGAATTTTTGGAGTTTTTTTGGGGGGACGGATTTTTTTTGGGACCCCTGAGGAATTTTTGGGTTTTTTTTTGAGGTCCCTGACGGATTTTTTTTGAGATCCCTGATGAATTTTTGGGATCCCTGATCAATTCTTGGGGTTTTTGGGATCCCTGATGAATTTTTGGGATCCCTGATCAATTCTTGGGGTTTTTGGGGTCC